GAATAGGGCAGGGGGAGGGGAATGTGGGAGTGAGGCAAAGGTGCTGGAACTAGAGGTGCTGAGTGCTGTCGCATCCCCTGGCTTGAAGTGGTTTCCATTATATACAGGTTCGACGGCTTGGTTCAGTGGCTATCAGCACCCCCACTATACAAATTGTTCCAGCACCCCTGGAGTGAGGGGGGGAGGATGAGGCATGGGGTATTGGGGGGAGGGAGATGAGATGGGGAAGAAAAGGTGATAAGGAAATCGCAGGGGGAAGCAGGAGCCCAGCATGCGGTGTCCCCTGGGCAGCAGCTGGGGCTCCCCCTTTAAGCAGGCCCATCGAACCCTCAGCCTGACAAGCCATGCCCCCCTACACCTGGACCCCCTGACAAGCCCCCACACCCAGACATCCAGCCCACTGAGCCTCAACCAGCTGCACCTGGACCCCCATCCCATCAAGCCCCACTCCCCCAGCACGCAGATTCCCCCACTGAGCCCCCCACACCGACACCCCCTACCACGTTTCATCTTCCCACACCCAGACGCCCCTGCTGGGTCCCAACCACCTTACCTGGATCCCTTGCAGAGTGCCATTGCCCATGCACCCGGAACCCCTCCTTCCAATGAGCCCCTGTGCATCCAGATCTCCCACACAGAAACTTCTCACCCCACACCTGGATCCCCCCATACTAAGCCCCTTCACCCTTGGATTCTGCTGGGCTGAGCCTGCCTGTCCGCACCTGGTGCAGAGGGGCTGGGGTCCGGGCTGTTTCTGGGGCAGACCCGACCCTTGCACTTTGTCAGGGTCAGGTGCAGCCTCACTGCCAAGTCCCTGTACCAGGGGAGGTGGGAGCTTCAGGGTGATCTCCCACCTCAATGTAGCCAGTGGCCTGTGCTCCCCACTGCCATGCCGGAGCCACATTTATTTATTGACAAATACAGTTTGCAGAATTTTAAAATATTGTGTGTGTAATTTTTTTTTTATTTATTTATTTTTGGTGCAGAATTGTTAATTTTTTGGCACAGAATTCCCTCAGGAGTAGAGATTAATAAGCTTGGAGTGTGTCCTTGGGCAACTATATTTGTAGTGGCTTCAGTAACTTCCAGTAGGCACCTTATTGTCATTCAGATAAACACATTTAATCTTCGTAACTTCTCAGGGTGTTCATTCAAGGTGGTGGAATTGTCATTGGCACTTATTACCAGGGTATAGTGCAAAGTGAAAAGTAGCCAGACACAGCACCTTGCTTTGGCTTAGTTAAATTAAAACAAGCTGGTTTAAATGTATGTGCTGCTGAAGCGGGAGAAGTGGGAGGAAGAGTTAGGCTGCAAGTTGCAGGGATGGGGTAAGACCATGTGAGGTGGTTGATGGGGAGGGAACCAGGCTGAGTGCCCCAGGAAGGGAGTGAGGGCAGATTTGTTTAGTCTAAGACTGCAACATTTAATGACCCTCATTGATTAGTCCCCCTTACTTGAGTACTATATATGAAATGGCCCATTCCGTCTCCTCGAGCCCCCTTTCTCTTCTCATTTAAGCAGCTCCTGAAAACCTTTTAAGAAAGAGGGTGGGTTTGGGCAACGTCATTGTACATATGTTCTGTGTTAGAGGTGGGGTGGGGGATGCCAGCTCTTTGCACACTTTGACTGAAATGTTCTCAACTGTAACTATATGTTATTTTAGTCCATAAACTTGAATGGATCTTTGTATGTCACTCTGACCATTGTACAATGTTGGGTACACTTTACAGTGCTATATAAATGCAATATTGAAATTATGGCAGTGACTTGATTAAAGATTTGATTTACTTAATTCCTACTCCGTACATACTGAAAGTTATTGTAAAATGAAAGTGATGCCACATTACAAAATGTTTGGGTATGTCTTTATGATAAAATCTGTTCTCTGACTGGCAAAAATCAAATGCTAAAGAAAACAATGATTTTGATGCCCATCTGCACTAACTGTGGTTTTGGCATACCCACGAGGCAGTTGACTGGTTCAGCATATTAGTAACATCAGCTCAAGGACAGACTAGCAACTTTTGCTTTCTGGAACACCTTAAATTTGCTAAAGGGTAGTGAATGCTGCTTTTCTTTGTTTACAATTCAGAAATAACTTTTTGACATCTTTACCTGAGGAAATGGAAGCACTGATAAGACTGCAAATAATAAATCTTTGCTTCAATAGGTAAGTACCCTTGCAGATAGAACTATTAACATATAATGAGAATTAGGCAAAGACCATCATGTGGTAATCCTGTTTGTGTGTTTGAAGCAATGTGCATGGCAGAATAAAAATGACAATGCTTCCCCTCCTCAATACTACTGAGCCTGTTCATATTAGGGTTCTGATTCTGCTAGTAAAGAAGTTTTGTTTCCACATCACTAATGAAAACAATGGAGAATAATTTGAGATGTTAGTTACCTCGTTTAATTGTTTTTTCAATGAGAAAAACACCTTTTTCCTGCTTTCCCAGCCTCAGTAAATACTTTAAATGTTCAAAGCATTCTGCAAATATGTTAACTAAGGAACTGGATTGCACTGCATGTCTTATTAAGCAGGTGCAAGTGTTCTTTGGTTCCATCTGCTGATAATTAACACAGGAATATTCTGTCACTGATGCTGGGAGGGGGGCACCTGATAGGAAAAATACTCTGTACTTGTGATTTTTTTTTTTTTAAAGGGTGTCTGGGGGTATTTTTGAGGGTTTCCTGCTGGTCACTGGCTTCATCCTGTTTCTGTCATAGACATTTCTTGTAAAATCCTGGCCCTACTGAAGTCAATGGAGGTTTCGACTCTTCATATTTTACCAGCGATAAAGGGTTTACAGACCTGGGCTATCTACCAAAGCCTTTCACTTTCTTGACTTGTAATGAGCTTGCATCTCCCACTTTTAGTTAGTGGTGGCTCATGGTTTTAGGAAGAAACTACTTTATCACGATTTGGAGCAGGCTTGAACATTTGACACCATTGCTAAGCAGAGCTTTTCAGGGCAAACTGCTTCTTACCAAAGTGTAAACACAAACTCCTGCCCAGCTTGTTGTCTGTTTGGCAGAACACAATGTGTGAAAGTATAGATTTTGATTCCTTTTTTCCTTTTGCAAATGGCATTGCTCGGTGCTGGTTTGTTTCATATAATTTTCAGCCCATTTAAAAAAGGATCAGTTTTACAAGAAAATATAAATTGTCCCTTGTGCCTGTTCCAGGTTTTTTAATTGAAACCATATGTCAATTTGCTTGAATGTATCAAAGTCAGCACTTTGCTGGATCAGGCCCTATGTGAACAGTGAATAAGGGAACTTTCTTCAGTAGCAGATAGAAGATCAGGGTTGGAAGAGACCTCAGGAGGCCATCTAGTCCAACCCCCTGCTCAAAGCAGGACCAACAGCAACTAAATCATCCCAGCCAGGGCTTTGTCAAACCTGGCCTTAAAAACCTCTAAGGATGGAGATTCCACCACTTCCCTAGGTAACCCATTCCAGTGTTTCACCACCCTCCTAGTGAAATAGTGTTTCCTAATATCCAACCTAGACCTCCCCCACTGCAACTTGAGACCATTGCTTCTTGTTCTGTCATCTGCCACCACTGAGAACAGCTGAGCTCCATCCTCTTTGGAACCCCCCCCCTTCAGGTAGTTGAAGGCTGCTATCAAATCCCCCTCACTCTTCTCTTCTGCAGACTAAACAAGCCCAATTCCCTCAGCCTCTCCTCATAAGTCATGTGCCCCAGAGTGTCCCTTCCGCCTCAGCCCTCCTGTCCCTCTGCCCCAGGGCTCCCTGCTCCCTCCTATCCCCCTGCCCCAGGGTACCTGGTACTAGGCTGTGATGCATAGAGATGCTAGCTTTCTCTGCCTATGCTGGTGCCAATTGGGGCCCCAACTTTTAAAACAGTTTACAAAACACAATGGGATTTATCGGCATACACTCCTCTGCATGCACAGCATGGTGCGTATTTTTCAAAGAACTTATTGCTGCAGCAAATGGCTGGTGCTTGCAGGGAGCAATATATGTCACTTGTTTCCTGAGGCATAGTTGTTATTTAGTAATAATCAGAGCTAGTTATATATTTATAACAGTGATTTAAATAGATTCCGATTGATATTTATTCTCTTTCTAATTCCCATCTCATTTGGACGCTGCAGAGAATGGCAGGCCCCTCCTGCCTTCGCTAGTGATTCCTTCCTCCAGGCAGCAATACATGCGGCTAAACCCAGTGTGGCTGGTTCCATTGCTCCGATCGAGCCTGCCCCTGCCTCTCACAAGCTATGCTTAAAGTGTTTTAAATAACAGTCTCCCAAAGCACTCCCCTTGTCTGACCACCCTGGCTGCAGCAAGACTCTTGAAAATGTTGCCATTAAAAGAGCAGAATAAAAACAGAGAGTGGGAAGAAAGACTGCCCCCCCCCCCAAAGACAAACAAACAAACAAAAAGCCACCCCCATCGTGAACTCTGATTCGATCTGTAACATCTCAGTGTTTTTCCAACAAGAAAAAAATTAATAGAATTCTGTGGGGTGGAAGTAATTTTCCTTCCGCTAAGACAGTCAACGCACATTCTGTTTAACACAGGATTGTTTTAATTGCGTTTTTTGTTTTGTTTTTTTTAATGACTAAGTGAGGATCCGTTTTGTTTTTAAGCAGTACTGAAGGTTCTTCCTGTATTAATATTTAAAAGGAAAACACTCTTTTTGGAACCAAATCTTGCCTGTGTCTTAATTAATGAAAACAAGCTGTGAAAATGGTGGGGTGATTGTTTTTTTGCCAAATCACTGGGTGATATGCATTATGCTAGAAATACAGCTGTTAGTATTGAGCAGAATCTATAAATAGTTTGTAAATAAGTATTTCTGAAACATTTTTAAATTGTGTGGTGCCGTACATCCATTACTAGTGTTTCAGAGCTGCATTAGTCAGCTGTCACGTTAAGGGAGCAGTGGGTGGATAAAATGCTGGATGATTACAAGTAACGAAGCTTCTACTTAATTTCTTTGTGCCATGGACCATAAACATAGTGTCTGTAAATGAAGGGCTCTTGTTTTAATATAGAAAGTGGTCATAAGTATAGTGGGATTTGCGGTGGGGGGTTGGTATCTGAATGGTGACAATTTTTCATGGGTATAAAACAAGCAGGATTAAGCTTGGGGAATGTAATGAATGTGTTTACAGGAACTGTTAGCTCAGACTGTAGGAGGAATATGTCCGGCTGACATCATTGCTACGCTCAGTTTTACAAAATGAGTGCTGCTGGCCTTTTGTTCTCTGTCACATAAGCACTGAGCAGTCATCATACAAATTACATTCTGCTTTTATGTTTGTGAAATAGACTAATCAGTATTACTGCCACCCTCCCAAAAATGCATGTTTAAAATGTACCTTTAATGAGTGATTATTATTAAACAAATTCAGTTAAATCTAGTCTTTCACCTCACTATTATCTGTTTTGTTACCCATTTTTTATATCTGTGTTTCTGATTTGATTCCTTAAGTGAATTTATTTTCATTTTTTGGTAGGTTTAAAATATTTCCCAATGTTCTTTATCGCATCCCAACACTTGAAACTATCCTACTCAGTAACAATCAGGTTGGATCCATAGACCCTCTGCAAATAAGGAAGATAGACAAGCTTGGCACCTTAGACCTTCAGAATAATGACCTCCTTCAAGTGCCACCAGAACTTGGAAACTGCGTAAATCTTAGGTGACTTTTTTTTTTTTTAATACTGCACGGTAACGTGGTTTTGATAACTGTTTTTTAGGCCTTTTTTTAGTCACAAGGAAAATTGTAGAGTAACAGTGTACTTGTGTGTTGGTCTAAATTCATAAAATGCCTGACCTCTAGTCATCAGCTATGAAGCAGCTGCAATTTTTTTCATAGTTTCTCAAGACTAATTGAGAATACAGGAAATTTTTGGTTCATGATTTTATTGATCTATTTATTAAACACAAACGAAGTAACATGAAAATTATACTTCGCATTAGAGGCTAACTCACATTACATAGGGGTACTTGAATGTGGAGTTTGGCCTTGAGCATCAAACTTGACCGTTAGTCCAACTTAATAAATCCACAATTTAGGAAAATTTAGAATTAAGCTGCTGGTCGGCTCTTAACTTGCCTTATCTTTACTTACTTCAGGGATTGTTCATAACAGAGGATTGTCCTCAGACTCATGTATAGTGCCCCATTTATTGACATTTGTCCCATGGCCATTTGTCAAAGGTAATTTGTTAAAAGACTTAACAGTAGGCTGCCCAAAGATTCTGCACTAAGACTGGTATTTAATATATTGATCAGTGATCAGGAAGGGGCGGGTTAGTAAAGTGTCATCATTTGCAAAGGACACAATATTTAGAGTAGACAAGTGGAAAAGCCACTGAGGAATTTCATAACAAAGATAGGTGAATGGGCAATGTGATGGCAGATGAATACAGCGGTGACATCTGTATGATAACCCATATTGGAAGGAATAATTTGAACTCCTCGACTACATTCGTAGGTTCTAAATTACTTTGCGCATTCAGGAGAAAGATCTGGATATAGTTGTATAAGCTCCATGAAAATCTCTGCTCGGTGTGCTTCAGCAATGTTTAAATAGAAAAAACCCCCAAAATGTTAGGGTGCATAAAGAATGTGATAAAAAATAACACTGAAAAATTATATGGGCACTTTATAAATTAATTTTAGGTCCTCACCTGGCATACTCTGTTCAGTCCTGCTTGTTCAATCTCAATGTTTATCTAGAGACAAGTGGTTCAGAGATGGGGATTGCAAATTATTAGGGGCATAACAAGACTTCCTCATGAGGAGAGAATGAAAGATTTGGGACTGTTCTGGTTTAGAGAAGAGATTTTAAAAAAAAGTCAAAAAATGATTGTTACAGAGAAGGTAAATTGAGAGCAAATATGTACTTTTTTTCACACTACAAGATTGGGGGGGGTTGATGAAAGTGGAAAGTAACAAATTTACGTTGATAAAAGGAAATGTGTGTACACGCTAGAGCTGGTCAGGAATTTTTCTACAAAACAGTTTTTGTCAGCAAATGCCAGTTAGTTGAAACCACAGCTTTTCATGGGAAAGGATGGTTTCAATGCAACTTTCATTAGGAAGGTTTCTTAGGTCCAGGGTGGGGGAAGTGAGAAAGAGAGGCCAGTGGTTAGACCACTCACCTGGGATGGAGGGCACATGCCTGGTTGTGGGAGACCCTGGGTCTCCTCCTTGCCAGGTGAGTGCTTTAACTGCTGGTTAGATTCAATAGATAGCCATTTTGAGAATATAAGCTCTCAAACTTCAGGGAATAATCCAACCCCTACATGAAAGAGTTGGAATAGAAACTTGCCCTAGGGGCTGGTCATTTCACCACTGTGATGCTACTGGTGTTGACAAAGACAAGATACTAGACTAAATGGGTCTCTGGTCTGGCAGTTCCTGTGTTTCTTCTTGCAATTCATTAAATAACATTTATTTTTTAAAATTAAGGTTTTGAAGTCGTACAGGGACAAATAACTTTTTCAGTAACCACTCTTCAGCCTACCACTAGCGTTACCAATTTAAACCATTTTTGTGAATGAAATGGAAATCTCAAGTGGGCAGACAGCTTGTATATCAAGCTTCAGTTCAACATAGTTTAAAATGGCCGAGTTATGAACCCTAGCACTGCTTTTTCTAATAGAAGTAGCAGTTGTTCTCTTACCATAGTGGCATAAGTGAGAACCACCTGCTGCACAACTGATTTGGCTTGAGAAGAGGTGCTGAGTCACCCAAATTTCTCAGAGTAAACAGCATGCTTGTTTTTCTGACTGAGGATTTTACAAGAGACTTTGTTTTAGATTTATTGGATAATCACATTTTCAAGAACATGAATGTATGGGCTGTGAGACTCTTGCAGACTTATGGAGTGTAGTTTTCTTGTGAACTCTAAAACTACCCTATGTAGCACTGACAAATGCTGTTCATGAGTAGAATTTTAATGTTAGTTAACACAACAAAAATACATATTTTTTCCCTATTTAGACAGGGCCTAAGGGTCTGACTAGTTCAGCAAAACACAGATCCTAGGTGAGAGGGAAGGCTTGAAGGGAACATATGGGAATGTGCTCTGGTGACAGGACTTGTGCTTACCTGAGGGCCTGTGCGTAACAACTGAGTTGGGAAAAGGTAACGTTGCCATTTAGCATAGTTCAGTGCTACAACCAGTTATTCCCATTGATTTTATCATTTATTTTTTATAAACGCTCCCGCTCCTCCCCCCTGCCCCCGAGGCCGGGGGTTTTACTGAACAAGTATGTGTTCCCCTAAATGTACAGCAGTACAGTAGTGCAGGGCACATGTGTATATTATGCACACACAAAACTATCCATCACTACATCTCTGTTGGCATACTATTAGCACTTGAATTAGACCAATATGAAATAGAGTAGCAGAAATTCATAATGTAGTATTACTATTCCATCTTTAAGCAGGATTCTTTTATTTTTCTAAAGAGCCATAAGTGTGCATGATGTATGAATGTGCTGGCACAAGCAAAAGCACTGACAGTAATAATTTTTATTTCTATACTTCCCCAGGACACTTCTGCTAGAAGGAAATCCATTCCGCACTCCTCGAGCAGCCATTTTGGCAAAAGGAACAGCAGCTGTACTAGAATACCTAAGAAGTCGAATTCCTACTTGATCAGAGTACACTTATTTTTTTGTTAGGCTTATGGATCAAAATACAAGCAAGATTTTTACCATCAGAAACTCAAAGGCCATATACCATTCTAACTGACTTCCTTCCTGTTTGTCAACTATTGATTAAGCTGGCCTGTGCCATAAAGCAATTTTTATAATACTGCTTTTACTCTGCATGTTTGAAAAAAATGCCCATCCATAAAATCTCAGCTTTTCTTCCAGAGTTGCATAGATCAACATTTCAATTGAAAATACCACAATGCTAATTTTCTTTATTTGTAATGCAGTGATTTCAATGGATACTACCATTAACAATGACAATTTTTTCTACAATTCAGTTTAAAAAAACTTTTTATGAATTAATTTTAGGGACACTAAAGGGGTTGCATAAAAGGTAAAAAGTAAACTTTCTGATTTTCTTAGGTTTGTATTGTCCATAGCTGTGGGACCAAATGCTTTATAGCAGGTGACCTCTTAATCAAATAGGTAAGTGTTTCACACTGTCTGCCTCCTGTTAAATGCCTGAAACCTTAAATTACACACCAATGCTATAATAATGGTAAGGATACAGTATGAACTGTGCTACAAAGAGTGTGAAGAATGTGTTTACAAAAGTGATTGAATTCTACTTGTTTGACTAGTAATGAATAAATGTTTCCTGTTGGGTGTAAAAACCATTACCTTTGTTTAGTTTAATGTACCAGTCAAGCTCTCTAGCTCAATAACATTAATATATGCTTGCCATATTACATACAAATGTGTTTATTCATCCTGGAAATGGCACCTTAAGATGCATCAACACTGGTGATAAATTTGTAGGGGGAATGGGTGTGTCAACTCTGAACTGCGATGCAAATGTATATACATTGCTCTTTTTTAGGCTTTTACATGCAACAAATTGTAGACTAAATCAAAATTGATCCCATGGTGGTTTGCATTGACTGTTCTTTGAACACTTCACTTCCAAACAGTATTGAAGACTGATAGCTGCCATGTTTTTAAGGCTATATTTTCAAGGGAATTCAGTATTGTACTGAAGGTCAGGTGGCTTTTAATTCTTACTGACTAAACTACAGTACATACATTAGCAATGGGTGAACATCTCTACCTACCTTGGCTTGCAAAAGTAATTTTTCCAAGCCTTTTTCTTCGGATTGCAACCCATTTTCCCCACCCCCCTGATTGAACTTAAAAGAAAATGAGGTAAAGAGAATCCTGTGCTAATTATTAGGAATAGAAAAGCCACCTTTTGCCACATTCACCCTGCTCATGCCATTAGAAGACAGCTGAAGTGGATATCCTGTATATTATGTATGGTGTGTATAAACTATGCTTTCATTCAACACTTTTCTCTTTCTCCCTTCCCCATCTCCCATCCAACAGCAAAATTAAAAAACAATTCCAATTAAACTTTCAACCCAATGATGGTTGAGTGGGTCCAAAATTAAGACAAAATAAATCCACCCATCCCTAATGTCTTACATTTAATGAGCACCTTTCATCATAAATGATCACAATACATGCAACAGCACTGAAATGTAACCCCTCTGGAGAGGGAGGACAGCAAACAGCTGGCACATAGCACTACATAGCAATAGGAAAGGACAAGGAGGTTGGGCGTTTGAGTAGATGTGTTACTGTTTTAAGACATCGCCCCATCCAAATAAAAAAAAAAAAAAAACAACCCAACCCCCAAAACAAATGGCAATATATTTATGTGGGAAGGCTAATGGTTGAAGGCCAAAGTTGCCCCTATTTGAATGAATGTTACCCAGCATTTTATAGCTATATCGAGTCTAACATTTAGATTACTGAGGCACTCTTCCAGCTTCTATACAAAGCACATTCTATATAGACACTGAATTTTAGACCTTCAGGTGCTGTAGCTTTTCTTCATACAGTTGCGATAATTTTAGAGTAGAACCTCAGACTTTCGAACACTTTGGAAATGGAGGTTGTGCGTAACTCTGAACAAACATTATGGTGGTTCTTTCAAAAGTTTACCACTAACCATTGAGTTAATACAGTTTGAAATTTTACTATACAGAAGAAAAATAAAATGCTGCTTTTAACCATCTTCATTTAAATGAAACAAGCACAAAACCAGTTTCAACTTTTTTTTTTAAACTTTCCCTTAATTATTTTAATAGTTTACATTTAACACACTAGTGTGCTGTATTTGCTTTTTTTTTTTTTTGTCTCTACTGCTGCCTGATTGCATACTTCCAATTCCAAATGAGGTGTGTGGTTGACTGGGCAGTTCATAACTCTGAGGTTCTACTGTATGATGCCTCACCAGAAGAATACTCAAACACTTGTTTAATGAGGGGAGAATACAGGCAAGTTTTGGTATGGGTTTGGTTTTTTTACTCTGAACTTTTTAAACGAACTGTGTCAATTAAAACTAATGGCAGAGTCTCAAGCATAATCCCCTCAGGTTAAATATTTAGTGAAGATTTGAAAACTGCATCTTTATCTTCACTACTTTTTTCCTCATTAAATCAAACAACATATTAACCAGCAGTTTAAAAGGAACTAGATAGAGACCAACAACTCTTTCCATAAGCCAGACAACACAGCAGTACAATTAATTACCTTTGAATAATTGATATCCCTTCTTATATTAAAAGATGACAAAAGTTTGTTACAATAATGTGACATTTTTATTATTTGTACAATAAAGAGACTTTTTTTAATGTTATTCAAAACACTTTTTAAATACTGAAAAAGTTGGTACACCAAAGCCGAAAAATGGCTCTGCTATACACTGCACAGCATTGTTTTAGTCCCTGTATTTTTTTTATGTACAGAAAGCATCTGCAAAATGCATTCTAAACACAATATGCACCTTACCAATTAGTGTCAATACATAAAATAAAACTGGAAGGATACAACTTGCATGTGCAAATTAACTAACAAGATAATTGATTTCACTGAATCAATAGATTTAAAATATAGTTTTAAAGTACCTTTTTGCACATAAAATGAAGCAGCTTTCAAGTTCAGTAAGTCCTTATACTGCAAAACCATTAAATACATTCACAATCTATGTTAATAAAGTAGTAAATATTTCTTCATTCAGCTTTATTTACATCAATACTGTAATTAAACTGAAAAGTACAGTTAGTCATCTGTAATATAGCAATCTTTTTAACACATACAAAAATGACTTTTTTGTATATAATTTAAGCTCAATATCACAATTATCTCAAAATATTAATTACAATACAGCCATCTCCATCATAATTAAACATGTCTTTTATAAAATGGTAAAATTTTTAATAAAGTAAGCTGTTGGTTTTGAACTGGATACAGTACTCACAAGTAGAAAACTTAACGTAAGTCTTTGTTTTGACCATGATTTCAGAGTAAACCCACTTAGGCTAGCAAAGAGGCCTAAAAGGCCCCAATTGATAAAGATCAAGCCTCTTGTGCTGCACTGTTGTGGCTTGTTGGTGGTTCTTCATTAAATGCTTTACAAGGGGGCAAGTAAATACTATATGCAATGAAATGGAGTGCATTCATATACAGAATATCTGCTTGAATTGTCTGAGGCTATTAATGCTCATAAGAATTTCTAAAGAAACAAGGAACTGTTTAAAATGCTATAAGTATCAAATAATACCTTCTGAGAATTTACTTTTGCAAAGGTGAAATTTCATTGAGGTCTGATCAAAATTCAAACTGCCACTCTGAGGAAAAGGAGCTCTGGTTACATTGCCTGGCCTCTGGGTGTCACTGTTGTGCTGCACACATATGGCTGTAAGGCCATTTATTAAGCATAGCAAAACTGGAGTCATAAAAAGACCAACTCAATTAATATCCAATCCAAACTACTGGCCTGAAAGTTGCATCATTGCTTTTATGTTTAGCTCATATTTACAGTACAGTGAAATAAACAAATCTGCTTAATAAAAAAGCAAAATTTATAATTTTATTCCACTTATTTGAAATCTAAAATTGACTGGATGACTATTTTATTTTAATACTTACATTTGGAAGTTTAAAATATAAAAAGCCCAGACACAGAAAATGAAAAGCTAGTAAGTCTATCCTACTCTTGGATGGCCAATTCAACGCCCACTGTTGGCGGTTGCAATTTTGTGTCCTTTTATGAAGATTAGCAAACGGGTGGTTATATTAATGTTTACTTTAGTCCCAATTGGGCTTGCATGGTAATTTCTGAGCACGAGGTGAATGGAGGCTGAACCCAGTACATTCACAAGCTAACTGTACAGAAAGTTGACAATACCCGTTTCTAGTTAGGAAGATGGGTGGCACAGATTGCAAAGCTAGTTGAGCTAATGGATATGACCTTAAATTCCCATTGACTTCCCTGGGAGTTGGGACATGTATCCTGGGGCAGAATCAGGTCCTATGCTTCTTTTGAATGTTCACTTGCACAGGATAGGAAGAGAAACTATGGTTTGTGAAATGAACTCAATCATTACTTTTTCTTTACTAATACACAAAATATACATCTGACCACATAAGTTGAATAACAGGGATTGGTTAGAGTTACAAGCAGGAGCAAGATGTAATGTGAGCAGTACATAGTAATAGCAGTGGCAAGCAGATTTCCTAAACATATTACATTCGATGTTTTTAACAGTTTATTGTGGTCAGATGGTTTTAGAACTGTTAAGAATTACTCGTACTCAGGGAAGTGCTCGTGGTATGAGTTTGCAGCTGTAAAAATAACCAAATGAGCTAAAGCAATTTTGTGCAAGTTTCTTCATTTTCAGAAAACCTCGTAACATCTGCCTGTGCTCTTTCAGCCTGGGAAATTCAACAGACAGCTGGCAGCTTTCTATTTTACCATTTACATGGCATTTAGTGAACTTCCTTAAAATTGTCCCTGTGTATAAATAGAGTAGAGACACTGTCAAGAAGCCGCCTTAGTTATAGTTTGAGTAGTCTCGCAGTAGCTCAGGCTGTAATATAACTGCACAAAGGAGCAGGATCATGATGAATAAAGGGACAGATATATTTTTACAAATCTGGCTTGTTAGAAAATACATTTCAGTGAATGAAAATATACTTGAAATTTTAAATTTTTTAATTACAATAAAAAACAAAAACAGAATGGGTAAAGAATTGTTATTGAGACTGGAGACTTCTTTAGGAAATGAATTGAGTCTCCTGTGGTCTTGTCTCTTTAGATATTTCTCCCATTCTGAGAATGACCTGTGGCCAGAGGTTGTTGGCTAGTACTCAATTCCAGCTGCGGCATCAACCAGTGGGATGCAACTGGGGAAAGAAGAGCTTTAGGCTCAGAACAAGCTTAGAGAAACTAACCCACACCCCAAAAATCTGGATAGGGGGTTCCGTATAAAACCGGAA